ACACACACACACACTCACACACACACACACACACACACACACACACTCACACACACACACACACACACGGATGTGGGAGCATCCAGCTCTTCATCACTGCAGAGGAAGACTCTGATCAGCAGAACCAGACAGACCTGGATCAGAGACCTGGGTCTGGATCTGGTTCTGGTTCTTTAGATGACCCAGAAACCCCAGAGTGACAGGAAACAGGACTTTAGTTCAGATCAGATGATCCCTGCAGAACTGAGACCTGGACCTCCAGCTGAAGGATGACGGCTGTTTCAGGTTCTGGTTCTGGTTCTGGTTCTCAGATGATCCCTGACTTCAGGTTCTGTTGGAGGAGTTGTTTGGACTTCTTCTGTCTCGTGTCCTCCACTGGTCCAGGTTTTTCAGATCCAAGAACTTCAGATGAAAAGAACTTTCAGGAAAGTCCTGATTATTGAGAGGAAAGAGAAGAAGATCAGAACCAGATCTAGACCTCTGGATCAGGACTTCTAGATCAGGACCTTTAGATCAGGACCTCTGGATCAGGACCTTTAGATCAGGACCTCTGGATCAGGACCTTTAGATCAGGACCTTTAGATCAGGACCTCTGGATCAGGACCTTTAGATCAGGACCTCTAGATCAGGACCTCTGGATCAGGACTTCTAGATCAGGACTTCTGGATCAGGACCTGTGGATCAGGACTTCTGGATCAGGACCTGTGGATCAGGACTTCTGGATCAGGACCTGTGGATCAGGACCTGTGGATCAGGACTTCTGGATCAGGACCTGTGGATCAGGACTTCTGGATCAGGACTTCTGGATCAGGACCTGTGGATCAGGACTTCTGGATCAGGACTTCTGGATCAGGACCTTTAGATCAGGAGTTCTGGACAGTTTCCAGGCAGATCTTTAAATCTTTGAAGTCCATCTTGTCTGCTTTCTTTCTTCTTCTGTTTTTTTACATCAGTTTTAAACTCTGACCTCCACGTTTGTTGTTGTTGTTGTTGTTGTCGTGGTTGTTGTTGTTGTTGTTGTTGTTGTTGTTGTTGTTGTTGTTGTTGTTGTTTTGTGGATCTGAACCGGGTTTATGTTCTGGATAATCTCCACTCATCTTTAGTCAGAACCAGAGTCATGTGATCCATGTGTTACAAGGTCCTCTGTCCTGCAGCAGAGACAGATGTCCAACATGAGACATCATCAGGACTGATGGACAACATGGACTGTCTTTGGAACCAGCTGATGGTCCCTGAAAAACCAGGTCCAGACCAGATCCATCAGAGT